TAATTATTGTAAGGAATTAATTTTCATTTTGAATTTTTTTCGTACAGATAATATAAATTTACAAAAAGATGTCCGATATTATTACACCTACTATGGATACCCAAAATTTCCAAGAAAATATCGATCACGTGTCAGCAGAAGTGGGAGTACCACCTTCTCGACCAGAGAGCCCAGAAAACTCAGAGAATTTCGAGCCGGAGATAGAGGAAGAAAATAGCGGGGCGTTCTACCGCCGGGGGCTTAAAGCTTTTGCTCAATCAAAGATTTCAGAAAGTAAGGAGGAAAGCCAGGTATTTTACTACGATGAAGAAGAATATTTACCGATCCATCCGAGTCGCAATATAATAATCGCTGAAAATGATGACTATGGATCAACAGCAACTATTAATCAGGATTTAATTAATGGGAAAGATATCCCATTTATGCCTTGTGACATAGAGGAATATAATGAGTATATAAATAATACCCCACACTATGTTTTACGACTTTATGGTTATCTTGTTAACGGTCAAAAAGCTGTAGTAACTATTTCAGGTATTAAAGTTTTCTTCGATATTCGTATTCCCAATAATGAGAATACAAAGTTATTTAAGTCCAAGGTAAAGGATATTCTTATTAAAGGAAAAGATGATGAAGGAGAAACTGTAGATATGACTGAGCTCCGAATAGAATATGTGAAGGCTTTTCCGATCAGGGGATATCATCCAGAAAAATTGACATATTTACGTATTATCACAAATACAAAAAAACAAAGATCTATAGCTCTTAATATTATTCTAAAACATAATTCAGAAATTGGAGGTACGCATAAGCTGGAAACAGCCTCGGATGATACGAGAGCATATTATCGAAAAGTTGCTAGAGAATATAGGATACCACTTTCTAGATGGGCATTATTAACTGATTATAAATACAATAGCAATGGAATGCCTTATAGTGCTCGCTCACCACTTTGTGAACATGCGTTTTATGTACCTATTAATAATTACCGCTCTATGGAAAATCCCTCAATTTTATACAAAAATTATCCTTCACAACTTCTTACTCGTGATCGAGCATTAGTCCTTACCTGGGATATAGAAACACATTCAATGCTTGGATTAGACCATTTCCCTATGGCGAAATATAAAGAGGATAATATATTTATGATTTGTATGACTGTTCACTGGAAAGATGATCCTACCCCGTTAAAACAAATCTGCCTTGTTGATGTGGAAACGGCACCGGACCCAAATTGGATCACGATTATTTGTGGAAATGAAAGGAATCTATTAAAGGCATTTGCTCTATGCTGGCGGGCTTTAGCCCCTGACATCGAACTCACTTTTAATGGATCCAAGTATGACTGGTCATTTGTAGTGGAAAGAGCCACCCAACTAAAAATTCTAGATTGGATGATGGCAAAGATGTCAGCAAACCCACGAAAAAAGGCTACAATCGATTCTATTCTTCGTTGGAGTTATTGTGGAGGGGTAGGTGAACCTTTCTATAAAGATTTCTTTCATAAAGAGCAAACATGGGGGTCTTCCAAAAAAGAAAACAAGGGTAACAAAAAGAATCGGGAAGGGATCGAAATTAAAATCACCCCAGATAAAAATTTTATATCTACTTTTCTCAAGGTTCCCGGTTGCGTTCCAATAGATGTGAAAGTATGTTGTGAAAAACTTTATCCGAAATCTGAGAAAAAATCACTCAACTATTTCTTAGGGATACATGGTCTTGGTAGTAAAATAGATTTACCAATAAAAGTTATGAGAGAATATTATACACGAAGCAAGGAGAATACCTCACTCGAGACCGCTGAAAATATACGTAAAATTACTAAATATTGTATTAAAGATGCTTTAAGTTGTCAAGAACTTATGGTTAAGAGAAATGTAATAAATGATTACAGAGAGGTGGCCTCAATTGCATATGTTTCTTTATTCGATTCGCACTACTATGCTGGGGGTACGAAGGTATGTAATCTATTAGGCGCTGAAGCGTGGAAAAGAGATATATTAATTACTTTGATTTCTCCTAAGCAAAAAGAAAAAGGCACGTTCCCTGGAGCCTATGTATTTCCACCAGATAAGGGTTTAGAAAATGAACGGCCTGTCACGGGTTAGTAATTATACCACTTAAACCCAATCACGTTGTTGCATTTTCATCACGTCTCCTGTTACATGGTAATCTTCCGATCACGAGAGGAATCCGTCACAGCGTCGTATATTTTGTCCATAGTATGTTCTTTCACCATCTGCGCGATTTTTCTTCGATATATGATGATTTAGAGGTAGGGATCGAAAGAGATGCTCATGGGTCGGTTGTTCCTATGATTTCTCGACAAGATCTCAATGACGCACGAGGTCTGAATAACTCTCGCAACCGAAAAAAAGTCAAACTGTGATACCAGAAAGATCTTGTGATAAGAGGCGAGGGAATATTGGTAAGTAATTCATATTTATTGTTAATCCATGTGAAGTCAATGATACTAACATTTTATTCTTTATATAGATTTGTCGCACGCCCGACGTGGATTGAAGGCGGAAGATCCATTACCAGATGGGGTATAATTCGATGCTTATATAGCAAAAAATTAATTATTTTAATATAGGGCGAAGCCCATTGCTTTGCAATAAATATTTCACTGGTTAATAAAGAATTTCGCATATCTGTAAACATATTTTTTTTTTCTTGCAAAAGTGATCGGCGTGAAGATTCTTCACGCGCACGTGATTTTTTTATTTGAAATTAAAGGCATAAATCAATAAAAATATTTCAAGACGTATACAATATTCTTCCGAACATTTTTGACAAAATTATATAAATTGATATTAAACATGCAATCTAAAGACGATGAGTTGGAAACTCGAGTCTCTGACTCCTCATTGAGAGAATTGAATTCCAGGCTCGTAACTGAGATTGATAAGCTTAGAAGAGAAGGATTCACTTATAAGTAAAAATACCAAGCTCTTGGCTAAGATTGTAGAATTAGAACAATCTATAAAAGAAGATGCTGAAATTACAAAGTCAAGAGACGCTGAACTTAATACCAGAATGTTCGAATTAGAACGATCAGCAAAAGAAAACGAAAAGCTTAGAAACAGAGTGGCGAAATTGGAACAGAACCAGTGCATCGATACTAATACCAAATCATTAGATGATGAAACAAATTCTAACGATACTTCTGAACAGATAATCTCATGTGAGGAGTCTCACACATCTAATTCTGACATATACCAGGACTCGGTAACCCCTACATCTCCCGCAGAAACCATATCGTCTGCTTCGCAAAGCGACTTACATTGCCCGGAAGAGAAGGTAGAAAATGAATTTCTGAATTCAAAACATAGAGAAACGGTTAGAAAAGAGATAATTCAAAACATTAAGGAGAAGAAGCTTCGGGATCAAGAGTTACTCTCAACTCCTGAGAATACTATCCCTAAAATTTCTATATCACCGAATAAGAACGTTTCCATACCCGAAGCAGAGAAATCATTACTTAATAAAGATCTAAATATTCAAGATACAAAACTTCTTCTTCTGAATCTATTATCTCTGCATCCAATCAGGAACAAAGTGCTATTTCTTCCGAAACAAAAATTCCCTATAATCAAAAGGTTGAACAAGGTTTAATATGTGAGTTATCTACATTTATTAACGAGAAAAGCCTTTCGAATCCCATACCTGATAGACAAATTCTTGAAAATATGCTAGATGGAGATGATTCAACTCCAGGTTCTGCATTGCATTTGGCCCATTTATTCGACAAGGCTAAAAAAACTGGCCAGAAAGAAATTTTACGTTGGTATTGTTATAGTGAAGAATTCGAAAAAAAGGTAAGAGACACTAACTTTAAAAACGAACTTAACGATCAAATGGCGAGAACACAGATCTATAATGAAATGGAACCATTTCTTCCAGGAATTAAGAGAGAGTATTTGCGTAAGAAAACTCAAAAGGCTAGAAATATTTATACATTATTCAAAGAAATAGGAATAGATAAAATCAAGCAAGTTACGTATAGTGCTGATGCTATTTCCAGTTTAACAGGTGTTCAAATCCAAAACATAATAAAGCTTTTCTCTGAAAAACCTGATGTAGGATTGGTCAACGAGCAAACTGGATGTCAAAAAGTAATCGGCGTGAAGAATCTTCACGCGCGCGTGACCGAACCTTCTAAATCAACTACTAAATTGTCTCATACGTCTAATTCGGAAGATATAATAAGTGAGGATGACAAATCTTTATCTAATACCTCGGTAAGTGTCTCAAATACTGAAGTCTCACCTAATAATACGACTCATATCTTTAATTCCGCTAATGTTGATGAGATAGGTGAGGTAAACGCACCCGATAGTTCTTTATATTTTAATTCGGGTCCTTTTGATGATGAAAATTCTTGTGATAGGGACACTGACCCACAGAGTGAGGATGGAGATTTCTCTGATAACGACAAAGAGGAAGATGATGATGAGTTCTGTGGATTTTCTGACGATGATGAAGGATATTATTATGATTTAAATACCGGTGAAACTTATACAAAATCGGACCGTTCAATCTGTGCATATTAATATAATCTAATTTTCAATATCAAAATTTTCGCTCGGTCCGAAATATGACGAAAATCATACTTCTTTAGGATGTTATACCAGCTGATGATGTACTAATCCACAGTTTAGTCGCGGTTGAGTTGCAGTAATTTTTTTCCTATATATCCACTATGTGAATGCAAAGCAATTCTATGAAAAACAGGTATATCGCAGTTGAGTCGCAGTTGAGACGCGTTAAAATCTTAGTGATGTGACTGTGCTTATTAATCGACCAAAGAAAAAATCAAAATGTTGGGTATCATAATATTCCCTGTAGTAATAGGGTGGATTTTGGAATAGTATCGCAAGTACAATCAATGAACTGCCTATTATAAATGCAAGGGTAAGTTTCAAAGGATCATAATGTAAGTACTTGTATTTCTTGCACAGAGCCAGGTTCGCCATTTTATTATTGCATTTCCTAATAACACTCTGATGATGAAATTTTGTTAGTTGTTGTATATGGGAAATAGAGTTGGATGGAGAAGCAGAGCTATTGAGCGATATTTTAAAGAATTTCGTACTCGCTTCTGGGAGAGGTTGGGTAAGTTAATTTCGCACGTTATGAAGCATTAATAGAAATACATATGAGATCGTGACCCTATAAAAAATACTAGAACACAAGTACTCAATTAAGGAAGACGTCGTAACCATACCCCCACTTCCATCTCACGAGGAAGTTTCATCTCCAAAAATCTTTAGTCGATCAAAGGGAAAGATCCCCGCCTCGCAGGACCTTCATGAGATATAAATATTAATCAGGGCAATGATACAGATATGCTAACTCACACTGAAGATAACATGGTTAATGCAGATAATATGGGTAGTAATGTTGGCATTAACATAGATGATGTCAATTAAACTATAATTACGTTTGCCCACATTTTGGACTTTATATTTTAGCATGTACAGTACATGTACACGTATATTCATCGGAAAAAATATTATTTATTGTCACATTATAAGAATCAGAAAAATATGTGCAAATTTCAATCAGTTCACTCACACAATAGAACAATTTGTTTATACATATTTGAGTAAATTCAGAATGATTATTTTTATCAGCAAATAATTTTCCAAATCCTAAGGTCTAGAAATTATGTCAAGAATAATATTAAAGTCGAGTGTAAAACCGCATCTCAGTACCAGATGAAGATTCCAGTCCGCTACATAATAGACCTTATTATTGTTTGCGTCCCAGTGAATGATATATGGAGCTCTATAGGGTCTCGTATTTTGGTTGTTGGTTGCGGGAGTCGTGACTGTCCCAGGATTTGGGTTCGGGCGAAAAGGATTATCTGATACGGGTAGGGCGATTCCAACATATTCAATTTTATTCCAGTATTGCTGAATTAAAGCGACTTTTTCTAATGCGTTACTACGATCCGGATCATTATTATAGAATACCTGCGGGAATTAAGATGTGATAAACCAACCATTACATACTTTTTTCAAGCAGAAATTAATAAAATTACCTCGATCCATAGATGCGGAGGTGGGCACGAATTCACAAGAGGCTTGGACCGTTCTGCATATGTTGGCCATTGAAACCACACGCCAACATCAGGCCGAAGCTCATTGCCTCCAACAACACAGATTGTGTTGTTACTTACGAACCAATTCCGATTATGAGTCCTCAACGAAAATGCGAGATCAAGGTGGACTTGTTCCTTATTCCCCCCATCAAACTGATATAAAAGTTAGTAAGAATGATAAATATCATATGCAGGTAAGTTGGAATGAACTTACTTTGATGAAAAGACGATCACGATTAATTATTTCAGCACTATAATATATGTGTATCGCTTCGCGCACACTAAGTTTCTCAAGTTCACCATCCGGAAAGCAAACCTCGACGACCTGTTGTTCCTGTTTTCCCCTCACCGCTTCCTCTATTCGTGCGAGAATCTGTTACGGTTATTAGACATTATCTCACATTTCATTTTTTTATATATCGCATAAATACCTTACGAATGGCCGAGGGTTTGGTCTGTTGGGTTTTTCATATAACATATCAACATACATGTATCACTGAAAACAAACTGTTCGACCAAAACAAAAGCGAAAAATAATACCTGCTCGAACATTTCGGAACCAATCACTTCAACACTCATGTAAAGTTTTGAGTTACTATTGTCTCAAGATAACGTCATATATTACGTATCTCACATCACGTCATATTATCTGTTATAAAACACATGACATCGCTCCCCTGAGCCCGTTATAACGTGATGTAATTTCGCAGTTACGATGTGGTTATAATTATTTTCAGATTGAATTTGCTATATTCACT